GCGAGTATTTCTCCCAACTCCAGCGACTTCACACCAAATTGACAGCACCACAACACTCCTCACACTTTCATGAACATTTAGGAAGAAGAATGAAGAAGAATGGTGAAGAAATGAGAAGGTTGGGTTTTCTTATATAATGAGAAGGAGAGAAGAAGAAGGTGACTCTGCGATCGGCGTAGTGGGGAAGGAGGCGCCGTCTAAACAGTTCCCTGGTTGGGACCTATTTTGGTTCCAGTCGGGGTACACTTTTTGGTCCAACTTTCTCCAAATTGAAATCCGTTTGCACCGTTGCGATCAGACAGTCGAGCTCTATCCAACGATATACTTTTCATAATTATTTGTAATACTTTTTCCGACATCATATTTTTGGGTGTTTGACTTTAACAGAGTCAAAATTGGTTTAATTGACCTTTCTCATAAAAGGTTCTCTCATTTAATTCATATCAATTATTCTCATGATTTATTTCAATAAATCATTACAAAGTTCACATCATAATTAGTTAATTTATTTATTCTTGATTTGGGTCTGTACTCAGGTTCCCAATCAAGACCACACAAGTAGTCCACATATTGGATTTATCTCGATTAGACTTATGCAGATTTTGATATTGGATATTAAAAAATATTTCATATCGGCCCAAAGCCCAATAATAATCAAAACAAATTTGTTTAATCGAATAATTATTTAATAATAATTCTAGGGTATGTTTCGGGGCGTTACACCTTCCGAAAACATTGAAATATGGTTCCACATCTAAAAACACGCCAATGCACCCAAAAATGATTTACCAAGTAAAAGTGACATACACCACTCTTTATTGATTTTGACCATTGAAATGAAGTGGGAGACTAGAAATGAATTTTATAGAACATAATTTTTGCTTTACAATATCATTGTTATAATGTGTTTTGATTTATTAACTATTGCTTAAACAAATCTAACTTCACATCCTAAAAATTAATTTCCAAACACAACTACAAAGACTAAACACTTGCATACAACCCCAACCCGTGCGAAGCACGAGGTTGAAAACTAGTGAATAGTTATATTTGAGCGAGAATGAGTACTACTCTACATCAGAATGAGTACTATCCGAATGTACATATCTCTAGGTAGGTCTGGTTGTACCATAAAGCAATGTTTTGAAACTCAGATCGAATCAAACGGTCCAACTGGCTGAGTCGTGACCTAGACAAGTGTTTGGTCCGGTCCTTAATCAAAACCCGTTTTTGGATTGACCCATAGAGAACTGTCAAACTTGTCGAACTGCGCGACCCGGTTCTGCCCGGACGGTTCATGGGTCTAAGGTAACTTTTGTTTTTTCTTCAAAAATTTACACCTTCAAGAATCAAACCCTGAACTTCTAGCGCAAGCACTACCATTTCCGTCCACCTGCACTACTGGAGTTGGTTGTTTATATGTGTATAAATGTTTTTTATATTCATTGCAAAACCTTCCAATTCATTTTAGGATAGCACCAAAATAGACATGATCAAAGTGTGGGCTAGTCCGAGCTGAGACACTACATTACGAGAATTTTATAGGCCTGAGCCTGGCTCGGCCGGTATAACGGGCCTAACAATTGAAGCCCGAGCCCAGCCGACATAGATACCCACGGGCTTCGAACCGACTTGGGCCGCCTGACAAAAACTTTTAAATAATTTTTAAAATAATTTTTTTAATAGAAGAGTAACAAGTTAATATATTAGATATTTGATATAAAAACTATAATGAGTAAATGAAAGAAAAATTAATATATAAATGTATTTTGTTTGATATTGCTACTATGTATGGAATATGAAAATTTATTTGAATAGCATAATCAATGTGTGATACGTTGCAAACAATACGGAGTAATAAAGATGTATTCATTTCATTATATATACTTAAAATTTATTTTTTCTCTCTATAGAAGTATATATGTGTGTATATAATAATTTGAAATAGTTTTATTCTTTATTATTATTATTATTAATGTTTTTATTTTTATTTTACTATAATTATATTAATAATAAATATTTTAATTTATTCGGGCCGGGCCAGCCCGTGGGCTTGAGGATAAACCCGAGCCCAGCCCAAAAATTTTCAGGCTGCCATTTATAAGGCCCAAGCCCGGTCCGTACCCTAACATGTCAATCCCAAATGCGCTATTTTGCGGGCGGGCCGCATACTCGGACTTGTGATCGGGTCTACACCAAGCTAATGTATATTTGTAGAAAACTTCCAAAATTTTATCAAGATAGTTATATTTTGCCTTCTTTAAAAAATAGAGATATATTTGTGTAATGTTATTATTTTAAGAATTTTCAAAATATTTTTCTATAAAAAAGAAATAAACATTATTTTTTGGAGTAAAGTGCATTGTTTACCCCGTACTTTTTAAAAATTGCATGTTTTATCCCTGAACTATAAAAATTGCACCGTTTATCCTCAAACTCCTTGAAAATTGCACGATTTACCCCTGCATACTAAAAAATACACCAAATACCCTTGAACAAATTAAACCGTTGCATCGTTGGTCCTAAACTATTAGATAGGGAGTGCGTTGCTTCCACGCACAACAATTGCGAATATGATTCATCTGACCCTTGTGATTTTTCCAAAGTACCTTTCCCCAAAATTGTCGTCTTTATTTAAATGTTTAGGAGTAAACAGTACAATTTTCGTAGAGTTTAGGAATATTTGGTGCAATTTTTATTGTTTAGGGGTAAAGCGTGCAATTACTAAAGAATTCAGGGGTATTTGGTGCACTTTTTAATGTTCGGGGGTAAATCGTGCAATTTTCAAAGAATTCGAGGGTAAACGGTGCACTTTTCTCTTATTTTTTGTATTGTTTTGTTATTTCAATCAACTAAAAAGTCTATTCAATACACTAAAAATTCTAAAACATTAATAAAAGTAATAAACATTAAAATTTGAAAGTGTGAAAGAGTACCCTATGAAATTTTATTATGTAAAAATATCTATATTAATTTATTAAAAATATTAATACATTAAAAATATTTTTATTTTAATTACAATTGATTGAGTCATTGACCCGGTTTAATCCGGTCCAACTTGTTAACCCTTGACCCAGAACATTTCCATATACCTTCTCCCTTAAAGCGGGGTGAATAAGAGTCAGTGGCGGATCTAGGACAACATATCACTGGGGGCACCATTGAAAAAGAATAGCAGCAAGAGCAAGACGGGGTTTAGAGGCAACACATCTACAAATTTTTTTAATGCAATGTAATTCTTCCGCCTTGAAGTATTTATCTAGTTTGAATCAAAAAAGTTAATTTGAACGAAATTTAAAAATTAATTATATTAAGTTTATATTGCACTACCTCGTCTAATTTTGAATTTTTGTAGTTAAAATTGACAAACTTTGACCACTAATTAAATAAAATTAATATTAGATATTGATACAGAAATGATTTTATTAGATTTATTTCATATAATATTTTTAAAATATTGCTTTATCTAAATATATCATAAAATTTCTATATAATTCGTGGTCAAAGATCGAAAATGACCAACTTCAGAAAGTCTGAACTAGACAAATACTCGGGGGGCGGAAGTAGTGTATTAATATAAAGAAATACGTTTCTGATAGTTTTTGATAAGATAAACCTAGTAAAATTATTTTTGTACTAATATCTTATACAAATTTAATTTAATGATTGATCAAAGTTTGTTCATTTGATTCGTTAATATCAAACTAGACGGATACTAGATGACAATAGTAAATGACAAAAAAATCAATTTTTTTGCTTCAAAAGTTTCCATTAGCCATTGGATTGTTTGTCTTTTTTTAACTAGAATTGAGGAATAAAGAATTGGGCAACTTAGTTGGGGCTTTTGGCTATAAAATAAAATTTTTACTAATAAAAAAATAGAGTTGGGCCGTGTACTAACGTTTGGACTAGGGCACCAAGAATTTCGACTGGGGCACCAAGAATTTTTTACTAGGGGCATCAATGAAATCAACCCCAACTTTTTTCTTTTTAATAGAATATTTAAATATGTTCACTGGGGGCCACTGCCCCCATAGCTAAGCACTGGATCCGCCCCTGATAAGAGTATAAGACATTACCCTTGACCCATACCAATTTCCACTATACCTGCGTGTTAGTTGAAGGGAGATTGGGCCAAGTTTACACTTGACCCATATGAAATTTATGTGCTAAATAGATAAAGAGAAGAAACAAAAAAAAAGTGTTGAAAAAAAGATAAAGGAAGGAACAAAACAAAAGGACAATGACAGGTAAATTTCACATATAATACACCAACTTTAACGTTTATTTCACTTTAATATACAAACTTTGATTTCTATCAGAAAAGTACATAAATTTACCAATTTCTTTCATCGATGGTACTTTAGCCGGTTTCTAGGCCGGTTACCAATCCTACGTGGATGCCTACTCAGCGCACGCATTTAAATCACTCTCTTCTTCTCTCTCCTCTCTCATCTCTCCTCTAAAACATCATCATCGTAGGCATAAGTGGGTGCGCTGAGTAGGCATCCACGTAGGATTGGTAACCGGTTGAGTACCTGGAAACCGGCTAAAATTCTGTCGATGAAAGAAACTGGTAAGTTGGTATACTTTTTTGATAGAAAACAAAGTTTGTATACCGAAGTGAAATAAGCGTCAAATTTGGTGTACCATACGTGAAATTTACTTGGACAATGACCTAAAAAGAGATTGAGATTGAGTAGAGAGTTGGGATAAAGGATAAAGACTGAGTTTGGAAAACAGCTTTTCAGATTGCTTTTGGCATGTTTGGCTGAATTTGACTTTTTTTACTGAACAAACAGCCAAAACCATTATTTGACTAATGGCTTTTTTACTTAGCATTTTGATCCGAAATGCCAAAATCTGAAATACCAAGTGGAGTAGCTTTTGGACTTGGCTGTTAGGAAAATTAATTTTTTTAAAGTCATTTTTCTTGAAAGATATTTTATAATATATGTAAAAACTAAAATTAAAAATAAAAGTTAAAAAAATTACATACCGAAAAACATAAAATTTTAAAATTAAAAATTTCAAAAAAATGAAATGAGAAAATAAAAAGTAAAAATCATTGAAAAGTTGTATATTAATAAGATTTACGTTTACATGTATAAAAATAAAAAATAAGTATCGTGTGACAATATATATATATATATATATATATATATATATATATATATATATATATATATATATATATATATATATATATATATATATAAAATCTGTGTGTGTATAAACAAACTATTTTTAAACAGCTAATTTTATCAAACATTTTTAACGATCAGTTAATTCATTCTACCTATCAAACTAGCTAAACTAACCTGTCAAACTAGCTGAACTAAACAGTTATTCACTGACATAAACTGCCAACGTCAGAGCTAACATCCACACAAGCCTTTAGGCTTTATCTGCCTACCATATGTTGAAGGTGCAAGTGCAACTAAGGCCGGGAAGAAGTGGATCGCTATAGAACTAAAGAAGTCGATTTGGAATGAAGTCTCCTATATTCCAACTACTATTTGAGAGCATCTATAAATTGAAGAGAGATCATAATCACGTATGGGTGGAGAGCATACCGAGAGAATGAGAGATGACCAATAGGGCAAGGATGGACGAGGGCCTGATGTTCGACCATCTCTTTACATTAGTGGATGGAGTCTAGAGAGAGAAGAGTAGAGAGAGGGCATTCCCGGTAGCTGCCTCCGGCGGCTGGAACAGCCTACCCGTAGTACCAATCGGCTCTTCTCAGAGGTTTTGAAGGGAGACAATAAAGTCTATGGGCAAATCAAAATGGAGGGTTACAATGGAGCACTTCTTACGTTCACCAACAAGGAAATCCAGGTGCTGTCGTCAAAGTACAAGTATGCTGTGGTTGGAAGAATGGCCAAATTTATTGCCAACAACAGTATTGCAGAGTCTCTCAAGAGGTCAAGGTTTGGGAGGGTTCAAAGTCAGCATCCTAACTCGCTTCCAGGTACTTATCAATTTTAAAGATGAAAGTGATTTTTACAGATTCCTGAGCAGAGTACATGGTCTGTGGATGGAAAAATTTTACTCGTATATCTTTCTAAATGGTCCCCAAAATATTTGCTTTCGGAGGATAGCCCTTTGGTTACCCTATGGGTCACTCTCAAACATTTCCCTATTCATTATCAACACCCCTAGGGCTTTACTCTCCAATGCTAACATGGTTGGAACTCCGGTCATGATGGATGAATGAACATAGAACGCAGAGTATCTCAATTCTGCAAGGGTTATGATTGAGGTGGATGATTTGTGCTTAAACCTGAACAATTTAAACTCTGAAGGGTTTCTGCAAGAATGGTTGTGTCTGAGGGAGGCCGACCTGGAAACCGTGAAAGAAGCATGCATGCACTCCGAGAATGATGGTCAAGAAGTTATGGACACATCAATCCTAGGACCTTTAGAAGTGATGACTCCCAAAGCCACTAGTTCCTGCATGATTCTTTCTAGAACTGGGAAGGTTAAAACTCCCTCACTTAAGCTTTCAGTCCAGACTAGGGGAATGAAAGCTGCTCTAGATCCCCAACAAAAGGGTGGTCAATGAATCCGCTTTTCTGGAACAGTTGTGGAGTGAGCGGCGCTCTGCCCAGGCTATTCACTTTCATTAAGTTGCATAGGGTTCACTATCTTGCAGTTTTAGAGCCTTTTGTAGTTTTGTTAGGGAGAATAAAATTAACTCATATGCTTCCAAGTTAGGTTTGAATCGCTACACAGTGGCGCTGAAGGATAAAGCTTGGATTTTTTGGGATGACTCTCATCTATCCTTTAAAGACAAGCTATTAGATGATCAAATTAGCAGCATAATTTCCCAGTCGGTCCTACTTAACAAAGAGATCCAAATATCCACTGTCTACAGCAAGCATTCTGATGGAGACAGAATGGAGCTTTGGAGAGCCATGGTGCCCCATGTGCCTAATGACAAGATATGGCGGGAGGTGGTGATTTCAATGTCATTGCATCTCAAGAGGAACATAAAGGCAAAGTAGCACCGTCTGCTAAGGTGATCGCTAATTGTTACCAGTTCATTGAGTGTTGTGGGCTTACCAACCTGGACCCCTCTGGGGGGATCTTCACTTGGACTGGATGTAGATCTCAAGGTAGAGTGTGGAGACGTCTGTAATGATTTCTGGTCAACAATTTGTTTCTGGGGGCTTTTGAAGATGTTATTTTAACTCACCTTAGTTTTAAAAGTGGCTCAGACCACAAACCTATACTCCTTAAGAGTTCCAACTTGCAGTTTCATGGCTCCAAAAACTTCAGGTTTCAAAACTGTTTGCTAACTCATCATGGTTTTCTACTCATGGTGAAAGAACATTGGGAGAAAAGGAGAAATGTGTGTGGCGTGTTTGGTTTTGCTGAGAAACTTAAAGATCTCAAGACTGATCAAAGGCTGGAATAAAGTTGTTTTCAGTGATATTTTAAAAATGTTAAGATGGTGAAGTTGAAAGCTACTGAGGCCCAAGCTAAATTTGAGGAGAATCCTTGTGATGAGCTGATATCTTTATCAAATCTTTCAGCTGCTAAACATCTTCAAGCATGTAAGAGGGAGGTCATCTTCTGGAAGTAGAAATCAAATATAAACTTGGATGAAAGAAGGGGACTCTAACTCTAAGTTTTATCATGCTTATGTGAAAGGAAAAAGAGCCCAGCTCATAATAAGCCCTATCAAAGATGATTTGGGAAACAAACATTAGAATGAGACTGCTATTGGTGACTTGGTAGTTGAGCACTTCTCCTCTCTGAACAACAATGTCCACATTCCCACTTTAGATCCCGTCCTTCAATTTATTCCCACAACAATCACTGATGAGGATAACTAGTTTATGGCTGGTCTACCTGGCATGGAAGAGGTGAAGCTGGCAGTTTGGTCCATAGTTACAGAATTCGTACACCCAGCCTCGATTTCCGAATTGGTACGAATCGTACCCAATCGCAATTCGCCAGCGACCCGATCGCCACCGGTACGGCGATCCAAATCGCCATGGTACGGCGCTCCAATTCGCGAAGGTACGGCGATCTAGATGCCCTCGAATGTCGCACCAAGTCGGAGAATGTGGAGTGCCAATCACCGGCGGTCTAGCGATCCAAATCGCAATTTCGTTTCTTCCGCGACCTTCCCTCTTCCAATCTGCGATTGTTCTCTCGGTAAATTTAATTCGCGATTGCACTTCCCCAAAGTGTCGTGTGAGTCGTTCCCAGTCTCGATTGCACTTCCCCAAAGTCTCGATTGTTTCTCGATTGTTCTGTGACTTCTCTCCGTAAGAGTTTCGTGTTTTCCTAGGCAGTATCCTCATATATATATATGTGTGTGTGTGTGTGTGTGTGTGTGTGTCTCACCCTCTCAAGTCTCACCACAACCCAACCTAAAGTCCTCAATATCCAGTAATTTTTTCTCTCTTTTTTAAATGGCTTTTGGCAAAAATAATAAAGCCCATAATGTCTTGTTTTTCAATTGGATTTTGTAATGTTATGCACTTATGCTCATATCTATTTTTGTTTACTTATGTTTTGACTTTTGGTACGCCGAACCGAATACATGGTACACCGTACCGCTTCGTACCACTTCGTACCGAAATGAACCTACCCCCCTTCGTACCGAATTCGTTACCTCTAGCGAATTTCGTACCCATACCGCGTACCCGTACCGAAACGTACCGCGATTTATGTGACTATGGTTTGGTCACTCAATGAGGATGCAGCAGGGAGTCCAGATGGTTTAAATGGCAAACTTTCCAGGGAGTACTGGAACATCATCAGCTCTGATTTGCCTAAAGCATGTCAAAAGTTTTTTCTGGGATCAAAGTTCCTGCTTCATATGGAGGTACACTCATAACACTTATCCCTAAGGTAGATAATCCTTCAAGATGGAAGGACTTCAGACCCCTCTTCCTCTCTACCTTCATGATTAAGGTTAGTACAATAATTCTGGCAAATAGGCTCAGCATTTTGCTTCATAAAGTTGTTTGACCTGAACAAGCAGGTTTTCAGAAAGGTAAGTCAGTCGATGACCAAATTCTCTTTGCCGGGAGATGGCTCACCAGCAGGAAAGAAAGGTGGTGGGAGGCAACAACATCATCAAGCTTGATATGGCCAATGCTTTTGATAGAATAAGGTGGGACTATCAGACAATCTAAAAGCTGTCCTACAGAAAATGGGCTTCAGCAACTTGGTCACCACACTTCTGATGGGCAACCTTCAATCAACCAAAATTTCTGATTGCTGATTAATGGCAGTCCAAAAGGTTACTTCAGTATGGGCAGGGGTGTTATTCTTGGGAGTGAAGGCTTGAGCAAAGCTATCTAGCATGGGATACATTCAAGATTCATCAATTCTTTCAACAGTGGCAGGGGGGCACTTGTTAGCCACCTTGGACATTTTGATGACTTGGTGGTGTTTCTTAATGCTAATACCAGAAACTTACTGAGGTTCAAGGCTATTATGGACTACTTTCTTGCCTCTGACAGGACATTAATTACCAAAAAAGCAGGTTCTATGTGGGTAGCCATATCCCACCTTAAGATTCAACAAACAGAAAATGTTCTAAACATGAAAGGAGGGAAACTGCCATTCTACCTATCTAGGGGGCTAACATGACCAAGGGGAAGCTAAAGAAGGAAAACTCTAACCCCATCTTGAATCACCTTGACAGATTGCTCTCCACTTGGTACAGCAAGAATCTTAACCCCATGGGCAGGCTGATTTTGATCAAACATTTACTTTCATCAATTCCTTTACACCATATGGCTGTTAGTGATTTGCCCAAGTCAATCATTAAGGCTCTACTTAGCAAAATGAGTAACTTCTGGGGTTAGAACAATGTAATCCTAAGCATCACTGGAAGACTTGGCTGCTGTTGTGCAGGCCCAAACATGAAGGGGGTTTGAGGATTAGAGATCTTAATGAAGTTCAAATGGCTTACTCCTTGAAATTACTGTGGAAAATCAACAATGTGGGGAATTTGTGGACTGCATACATGAAAGCCAAGTACGTAACTCATAGAGAGGGATATAAAGTTAATCTCCCTGACTCCACAAACTGGTAAAGAATCATAAAAGCATATCAACATTCAACACATTGAGGATGATGCTTCAATGTTCCTAGGTAACCCTTTTAAACGAAAAAGGCTTGTTATTTTGGAGGAAAAACACTACTCTAGCCTCTGCCAAAAACATCTTTTAATATACAAAGGCAAAGGGGAAACATGAGTAGTAATTTTTCCCGCCTAGAAATTTGGTTCCAAGCATGGGCTAAATTGGCATTTAGGACCATATATGGACTAACCAAATAACCAACTTTATTGAATACCGTGTGGGAGAACCTGTATTGGGCTAACCGATTAACCCTCTTTATGGACTGCCGTGTGGGACAGCCTGTATTAGGCTAATCTAATAGACCACTTAATGGGATATCGTGCGGGACAACCTCGATTGACATGACTGTCTATTGGGCATTAATGATGTAGATTCACACAATATTTTGAGACCCACGCAAAAAGAAAAAGTATTACACATGATCATCAAACTTGAGACCAGTGCTTTTCAAAATATTTTTACACTTACTATTACAGTAGAAATGCTCATCTATAAACTAATGAATCCTCAAATATCTGGTTTCCCTGTTAGTGGTCGGTAATGACCTTTTTTCTTGCCTCGTTCATGCCTTCTCGGGATTTTCCTTTGGTCAGCTTTGTATATTAAAAGACAATCCATTTATTGTTATGGTAGATTCAAATTTTTTGGGGTTAAATATACCAAAACTTCATTTGTCTACATTAACCACCACATACCAACAAGATGAATATGGCATCTACCCAAGGTATGAGGAGCATGCTTAGAGAACTTAACAAGAAGAAATTCAGATCCAAAATGTTAAACATTTTAACAAAGGTAGTCTAGAATTTGAAGTAGTAATAGTTCAAGTAAAAAGTATATGAAGGTACACTATAAATCCCGCGTATCCTTGGTCGCAACTCCCATAAAAGTATATATGGGAGACACGATTACAACTTTTCTTTCCTTCCGGGGTTCCATAAATCTCGCGTATCCTTGGTCGCAAAAGCACAGTTCGAGTGTCATAAAAATGCATATCTGTTCTTTTCAAATTTGAGTTTTATCCGGTTGATTTTTGGATTGAACACCCAAAATAATTAATCTAAAAGTGCTATACGACTCACTAATTGATCCACGTTATCTTTGTTTTCCCCAACAGAAACATTAGGGCGGCTCATCGGGAGAAAAAAGAAGATAAAGCAGAGGGTAGAGTGGCGCAGACTGAGTATGGCATAATTGTTGTACGGGTAGGCGGGTTAGCGTTTGGGGAGAAAATGGTGGGCCGGTGCACTTCAAACCCTCACACTACATTTTTATTTTTACTTTAATTTTGAGCATAATTCTCTTTTTAAATTTTTAAAATCCAAGACATGCATTTTAAAATATTTTAGGCTATGTTTGTTTAGGTTGTATTAACAGAGTTGGGTGTCGGAAAAAACCAGAAGAAGTTGGAAGAAACAGCTAGGAGGTAAAAGGAAGATCGAAAAAACTGGAAGGAGTTGGGAAAAAATGTTTAAAAAACACTCAATTAAATAATCAAAAAAATAAATATATAGGGAAAACTAATTTTAGATAAAAAAGAATTCATCTTTGTAGATTTTTTTGTGTTTGAGGTAGCATGTTATAAATTTTGATATATGATATTAGTGTATATTTTTAGCAACTACTTTTTTCTAAACGACATTTCTATCCTAACTTTTACCCATTAATTATAACCTTTCATATTCACTTTATTTAACTTTTTCAATTATTCAAGGGCATATGTAGAAAGTCAAAACATTTTTTTAGTTTTCTTTAATTTGTGTGTGTGTGTGTGTGTGTGTGTGTGTGTGTATGTATATGTATATGTATACATACATACATACATACATACATACATACATACATATATGTGTGTGTGTGTGTATATATATGTGTGTGTGTGTGTGTATGTGTGTGTGTGTGTATATATATATATATGTCTATATATATATATATATATATATATATATATATATATATATATGAATTTTTGCTCTCTATGAAACAAACTGCACATTACAAATCTTATATTTGCGTATGATATTATTGTTGTTCCAGTGTGTCATGGAGGCTCTGCAGCACTTTAAGGATGTCTTTAGTCTGGTTTAGGAGTAGGATAGTAATTTTGCCAAGTATGGCCCTTAAAACCATCCAAGCCGTATTCAGGATTTTTGTGTGGAGTGGGGCTACCAAGTGCCAACAGTTGTAAAAGACCTGTTATCAACTGGGAGACGTTTGTATGCATAAGAACAATGGGGGTTAGGGGTCAGGAATATACTGTACTGGAGTAAAGCTACTGTGCTAAGGTTGATATGGGACATTTCTAATATGAAAGACTTCTTATGTGTTAAATGGGTCCTTAAGCGAAATAACATTTGGAACTACATTCTTAAACCAGATTGCTGCTGGTATTGGAAAAAACCTATTCAGACCGGAACGGGTATGGCTAATATGTGATGGCTACAATTGGTTGATTGGTCAAAGACCTTAGGTTTGCTGGGCTAAAACTCATTGGAGTAATCTCTTTTTTTTTTTGAACAAAGCACAAAAATATATTAACTCCAAAGAACAGTTCCGAGTACAACAAAAAAACGAAATACACAATAACAAGAACCAGCATCTAACACCAGCATACAGCGTGAACAACATAGACTCTCATTATCCGTAAATTTTTTTCTGGGAATGTAAATATATGCATCACTTTAATTCTAAGATCTTTTTGTGGCTAAAGCAGGTGCAAGGAAGAAGCTATAGAGGAATCTACTGTGCTGCATGGGCCTACTACTCACTTTATTTGGAAGTCCAGAAATCATTGCTTATTTTGAAGGAGAGGTATCGATGTTGAAGAAGCTTTTGCTCATGTTAAATTCAAACTTTGTTCCTATATTAATAATAGTAGATCCAAATGAAATTTCCCTCTGTTATATGGAGTAGTTTCTTTTTTACTCCTTAGACTTGTTTGATTGAGGTTTTTGTAAAACCCTTGTCTTTTGATCTACCTCCTGGTGTGCTTTTCCACAGGAGTGTTTAATAAAGTGCATTTTGGTTAAAAATAAAGTTTATGAACATTCAGATTTCAGATTTCATTTTTATGAACAATACAAA